AGATGTCACTCCAAACAGACAATATCCCAAACCCCTCCTTCAAAGTGCAGGCATTGTACCTCTCACATGAGCTAGCCAACAATATGCAGGAGAGAGAAAAAAAAAAGATGAACTGAATCAGTTATAACAGATAAACAAAAAGAAACAAGAAAATCCTAATTAGTTAGCAGCCTTACCTTTTTTTCTTTCCTCTCTCTCCTTCCTTTCTTAATTTCTCGTTGTGACTGGAAATTAAAGAGATATCATGAGGGAAGAAAAAGGTATTTGCTTTTCTGCAATGTTGATATACTAATGACTAAAAAAAATATAACAAATGAATAACTATATTAACTTGGGAATTAAAGAAGGTTATTCTTTTAAAAATAAATTAGGTAATAGACTGGTAGCCATCAGCCACCCAGGTAAGCACTTTAATTTTCTACTGTAGCATGAATTAGCATAGCAATTCTGTACTGTACAATCTTGAAAGCAACATTACCTTTCAAAAAAATCTTATAATTTTTATATTTACTGTCACTAACTTTTTATATTTCCTTTATATACATAACACATTCATACAGGTATGCCTTGTTATACATTCAGAGGTGGAAACAGGATATCCTAAGGAAATGGGTGCAGCTTCCAATTTACTCACAAATATGTATACTAGTAACTGTTAAACAGAAGGCAAACAGCTGCTTGTACATGTTAACACTCAGTATATATTAGGTTACCTTTCTAAGCAATTGCTTTGTGGAGAAATGTGATGGAAGTTTGGTTAACAGCAAGGGGCAGTAAGAGGCCAAGTTTCTTGGACATACCTCTTAAAATACTGCTCTATTGCAGTTAATATTTACATTTGCAAGACAGTGCATTAACTCATAAACAAAGCCTAATGTGTTAATACGTCTTACTGGACAACTATGCATGCCATATTAACAAGCAATAATTATGGGAGATTTCAAATTCCCTATGACCTACTGGACCATGCAGTGCATCATGGAAGACAGTATAAAAGTACAGTACATGACAGTCCAGTTGCACATCTGGCACCATGATGAGGAGACATGATAATTAAAGCAAGTCCAATAAAGATTCCCAGGTATAATGACATTAGTAGCAGCAATGCAAGATGCAGTGAAGACTGAAGAATTGCACAAATAAAGAATCATGCAAAAGAAGTGATGATATAGCCCCCTTCCTCCACAGATGAAACAGGTATTTATTTCATTTTATGGTAGTGACTGAAGCTATAATGATGAGGAAGTGAAAAAGATACATAGCCTATGCTAGAAAGTGCCAATTCTACAGTGATGAAAAATTCTCATATGAAACTTAAGCCTGAGTGAGCTTTCCAATGCCTACTTTTGCCCTAGAGAAGAAAACTGCCCAGGAGTTACTTGTGCAGCCACACACTCATAAAATCAAAAGTACAACCAAGCTGTAGAACTGTGTATGTATCCATGCTTCATGGTCATTACACCCAGAAAAACATTTACAGAAATATATAAATCATCATCATCATCATCATCATCATAAATTTAAGGATGAAACTTGAAAGGGTAACACAGCACCGCTTTAATATATGAAACTCTTGTAAATAGTATAAATTCACAAAGAACAAAACAAACAACAAAACAGAACAAATGTTAGAAATATCTGGGTAAGTGCAATTTGGTACTATGCACATTTTTCAGTTATTGCAAACTAGCTTCAATTTGTTAAATTTCAACATGCTACTTCAAGTTATTTTCATTATTTTTCAGTTTTCTTTGCATAGCTATATTCAGTTTTCAATGCTATACAAACCTGAAAAAAAAAATTTACTTTCCATTAGTTGTTACAACTCTCACCCATGCACAGTTTAAGGGTAAATTCAAACCTTTATAAAAATACTGTATGCATAGAATGAAAGTCTATTAGTATTGTCTTGTCTTAAAAAAGTAAGGTGTTACAAAAATGATGACTAGTAAAATCTTGGTATCCGTATTCACTTGGGACTCGATCCCAATGTATGATAATATACCGTAAAAGTTTTACTGGGCATTACATTTTTTTTTTTTTTTCAACAAGTCGACCGTCTCCCACCGAGGCAGGGTGACCCAAAAAAGAAAGAAAATCCCCAAAAAAGAAAATACTTTCATCATCATTCAACACTTTCACCACACTCACACATTATCACTGCTTTTGCAGAGGTGCTCAGAATACAACAGTCAGAAGCATATACGTATAAAGATACACAACATATCCCTCCAAACTGCCAATATCCCAAACCCCTCCTTTAAAGTGCAGGCATTGTACTTCCCATTTCCAGGACTCAAGTCCGACTATATGAAAATAACAGGTTTCCCTGAATCCCTTCACTAAATATTACCCTGCTCACACTCCAACAGATCGTCAGGTCCCAAGTATCATTCGTCTCCATTCACTCCTATCTAACACGCTCATGCACGCTTGCTGGAAGTCCAAGCCCCTCGCCCACAAAACCTCCTTTACCCCCTCTTTCCAACCCTTTCGAGGACGACCCCTACCCCTCCTTCCTTCCCCTATAGATTTATATGCTTTCCATGTCATTCTACTTTGATCCATTCTCTCTAAATGACCAAACCACCTCAACAACCCCTCTTCTGCCCTCTGACTAATACTTTTATTAACTCCACACCTTCTCCTAATTTCCACACTCCGAATTTTCTGCATAATATTTACACCACACATTGCCCTTAGACAGGACATCTCCACTGCCTCCAACCGTCTCCTCGCTGCTGCATTTACCACCCAAGCTTCACATCAATATAAGAGTGTTGGTACTACTATACTTTCATACATTCCCTTCTTTGCCTCCATAGATAACGTTTTTTGACTCCATATATACCTCAACGCACCACTCACCTTTTTTTCCTCATCAATTCTATGATTAACCTCATCCTTCATAAATCCATCCGCCGACACGTCAACTCCCAAGTATCTGAAAACATTCACTTCTTCCATACTCCTCCTCCCCAATTTGATATCCAATTTTTCTTTATCTAAATCATTTGATACCCTCATCACCTTACTCTTTTCTATGTTCACTTTCAACTTTCTACCTTTACACACATTCTCAAACTCATCCACTAACCTTTGCAATTTTTCTTTAGAATCTCCCATAAGCACAGTATCATCAGCAAAAAGTAACTGGGTCAATTTCCATTTTGAATTTGATTCCCCATAATTTAATCCCACCCCTCTCCCAACCACCCTAGCATTTACTTCTTTTACAACCCCATCTATAAATATATTAAACAACCATGGTGACATTACACATCCCTGTCTAAGACCTACTTTTACCGGGAAGTAATCTCCCTCTCTTCTACACACCCTAACCTGAGCCTCACTATCCTCATAAAAGCTCTTTACAGCATTTAGTAACTTACCACCGATTCCATATACTTGCAACATCTGCCACATTGCTCCTCTATCCACTCTATCATATGCCTTTTCTAAATCCATAAATGCAATAAAAACTTCCCTACCTTTATCTAAATACTGTTCACATATATGCTTAAATGTAAACACTTTATCTACACATCCCCTACCCACTCTGAAGCCTCCCTGCTCATCCGCAATCCTACATTCTGTCTTACCTCTAATTCTTTCAATTATAACCCTACTGTATACTTTTCCTGGTATACTCAGTAAACTTATTCCTCTATAATTTTTACAATCTCTTTTTATCCCCTTTCCCTTTGATATAAAGGGACTATACATGCTCTCCGCCAATCCCTAGGTACCTTCCCCTCTTTCATACATTTATTAAAAAAAAGTACCAACCCCTCCTACACTATATCCCCCCCCCGCTTTTAACATTTCTTTATGACCCATCATTCCAGCCTTTTTAAAACCCCCTTTAATTACTAACCTAAACCTCCCCTAAATTTCACCTCCCTTCCCCAAAAAAAAATACCCCCCAATATAAAATTTCCCCCCCTTTTTTAAAAATTTAAAATTTAAATTTCCGATGTACCAAACCTCCCACCCCACACAAAATCCCCCTCTTTTAAAATGAAAATCCCCCTCTTTCCCCCTAGGTTTTCCCAACTTTTTCCCCCATTTCCAAAAATTTTTTCTTATTTTTCATTAAAATTTTTCTTGACATTCCTCTCCCCCCCTCTTTCATCTGCCTCCTTTTGGGACTCTCCCACCACTCTCTTCACCTTTTTTTTTAAATCTCCAATACTCTTTCTCTTTTTAAAACACTTTTTGCTTTTAAAAACCTCTCGAAGCTACCTTTTTTTTTTTATCCACCTTTAAATTCACATTCCACCATCCCCCTCCTTTCCCCCTGCCCCCCACCCTCCTATAACCACAAACTTCGCCCCACATCTAATACTGCATTTTTTTAAAATAAATTTTCCCAAAACTCTTCAACCCCCCCACTACTCATCTTTGCACTAGCCCACCTTTCTGCCAATAGTCGCTTATATCTCGCCCGAACTTCCTCCTCCCTTAGTTTATACACTTTCACCTCCCCTTCTTACTTGTTTTTGGGCCACCTTCCTCTTGTCCCATCTACCTCTTACTCTAACTGTAGCTACAACTAAATAATGATTCCGATATATCAGTTGCCCCTCTATTAAACATGTACATCCGGGCCAAACCCATCAACCTTTTTCCACCAATACATTAATCTAACAAACTACTTTCATTACGTGCTACATATACCTTTTTATATTTATTTATCCTTTTTTTCATAATATAGGTATTACTTATTACCAAATTTCTTTCTACACATAGCTCAGTTAAAGGCTCCCATTTACATTTACCCCCTTGCACCCCAAATTTACCTACTACTCCCTCATAAACATTTTTACCCACTTTAGCATTAAAATCCCCAACACCATTACTCTCGCACTTGATTCAAAACTCCCCACGCATTCACTCAACATTCCCAGAATCTCTCTCTCCCTCCTCTTCCACTTCTCTCTTCTCCAGGTGCATACACACTTAACTATAACCCACTTTTCACATCCAATCTTTTATTTACTCCCCCATACCTTGAATTTTATACATTTGTAGTCCCTCTTTTCCTGCCAAACTTATCCTTCAACATTATTGCTACTCCTTCTTCAGCTCTAACTCTATTTGAAACCCTGACCTAATCCCATTTATTCCTCTCCATTGAAACTCTCCCACCCTTCAGCTTTGTTTCACTTAAAAAAACCAGGGCATCCGTATCTTCTCATTCATAAATCCACAATCACTCTTTCTTATCATTTGCACAACATCCAACGCACATCAGACTTCCCACTTTGACAATTTTCTTCTTCTTATTCTTTTTAGTAATCTTTACAGGAAAAGGGGTTACTAGCCCATTGTTCCCGGCATTTTAGTTGACTTTTACAACACGCATGGCTTACGGAGGAAAGATTCTTATTCCACTTCCCCATGGATATAAAAAGAAAAGTAATAAGACCAAGAACTATTAAGATAAAATCAAAGAAAACTCAGATGAGTGTGTATAAATAAACGTGTACATGTATGTGTAGTGTGACCTAAGTGTAAGTAGAAGTAGCAAGACATGCCTGTAATCTTGCATATTTATGAGACAGACAAAAGACACCAGCAATCCTACCATCATGTAAAACAATTACAGGCTTTCATTTTACACTCACTTGGCAGGACGGTTGTACGTCCCTGGGTGGTTGCTGTCTACCAACCTACTACATTACATACAAGTGTAAATTAATATATATTAAGCTAATACTGTACTATATAAGCCAATATTACTAAGCACAGTGTAATTTTCAACAAACATGATCCACATTTATGTAGAATAATTATTTAAGAATTCTTGGGATTATCTAACATGATAGCCAATCAAGAATATTTCTCTTACCCTTCTTTCCTCTCGGGCTTTCTTTTTGAGTTCACGAAGACGATTTTCTTCGGCTAGCTGCTTTAGTCTCATTGCTTCAAGGTTTCTGCGCTCTTGCTCCTCTTTCTCACGAATCTTTGCAATGCGGGCAGACCTCTGTCTAGGGACTAAATGAACAAATAAATTGGTATATAACACAGTACATACACTGAATAGATATACTGAATCTTGATCCCTGTTGGAATCAAGGCATTACATACATCTTTTTCACAACTTAAGAGCAACTTTATGAAGCAGTCTCAAATGCACCATGAGAGCACCAATATATGTTGCATCCTTTTGCAAGAGACTCATCTACCACAGATTAGTAATTATTACATTCAATGGAGATACATATCTAAGCTCATAGGATGTCATACAGTGCCTGTTGAATTTAGAGGTAATCAGATTTTATCCAAGAATAGGGCAGTTACATTTCCCTGAATCAAGAGCCTTTTGCTGGCATCAAGACACCTTTCTTGAAGGGTCATCCACCACAGATTAAAATCTAACATTTTATATTAGTACAGTGGACCCCCGCTTAACGATCACCTCCAAATGCGACCAATTATGTAAGTGTATTTATGTAAGTGCGTTTGTACGTGTATGTTTGGGGGTCTGAAATGGACTAATCTACTTCACAATAGTATTCCTTATGGGAAAAAATTCGGTCAGTACTGGCACCTGAACATACTACTGGAATGAAAAAAGTTCGTTAACCGGGGGTCCACTGTACTTTCATTTAAGATTTTTAGCACAAGTTACGTTACCCTGCCTAGAAATTTAAATCACTGAGACAGATTCCTATTCAACACTTTCATACGTATGTATTTACAGTAGGTCATATATTCAGTAGAAGCACTAATTAACTTCTCTGAAACCCTAAAAACTAAACTCATTTAAAATTACTGTAAATAATATACCAAGAATAACTAATTGAAATTCTCTTACCATCAGGTAAAGGTCTAGCAGTACTCCCTTTGCCACGCTGCCTTCGTTTTTTGCTTGGAAGAGGGGCAGTCTTTTTATCAGCTTCTCCCACACCATCATCATGGTCTATCTCATTTTCTTCTTCTCCATCAGTGCCTGGAAGCTGTTCTGCTGATCTCTTCTGTGGTCGCTTTCTTCTTTTTCCAGTGCCTCTCTTCTGACTCAAAGCTCGTCGTCGTCCACTTCTTGTTGACAGCTCTTCTAGTTCTTTTTCATCTTCATCATCTTCCTCATCCTCGTCCTCCTCCTCTTTACTACTCTCTTCATTTTTCTCTTTGTCATTTTTATTTCCCTCACTTTCCTTCTCTTTTCTATCACTTTCAGTTCTGTTTCTAGTACTAATTGTACGTGAATTATCTCTTCCTTTTTTAACTTTTATCAGTTTTTCTTTTGTTGCCACTTCAATGTTTTCTGGGTCCTTTTTTTTCTTTCTGAGCTCTATTTTGTCACTTAACGGTTTATTTTCAGAATCAGTAACCTCCACCTTTCCCTCTTTCCCTTTAAACTCAGTATTATTTAGTATTTTTTCTTTTTCTTTATTACCCTTTCCCCGAAGGTCACGCCGTTTTCTTCTGCATTCTAGCACTTCATTGTCTTTTTCAAGTAACTTACTTTCATCTGTATCATTGCACATATTGTTTTCCTCACTAACTTTCTTTCCATTTACACTTGAATGAATAATATCAGAAGGGCATTCTGGTTTGCCCTGCCAAGATTGAGATTTATCCGACTTATCAACAGATTCTCTAGTTCTTAAGCCATTAACTTTAGCTTCATCACTCTCAGAAACCCCATCTACCTCTTTGGGGTCACCCTCTGTTCTTATATTCTCAACCTCTTTCTGTGGTTTACAATCGCTTGATGCTGGATTTACTTGTTTGTCAGCTGTGAAAGAAGTTCCACTTCCACCACCTTCTGCTTGTTTTGTTTCAGTATTTGTGTCTGTTTCATCACCATTGTTACCTGCATCACAGTCCACACCATTACCCTCCCCCCAAAAATACATCACATCTTCAACCACTGCTTCTTCAACTTGATTTTTTCTTGTATTGTCATTTTCTTGAAAACATTCCCACCAAGGTCTTCTACTCTGAAAACTAAATGCATCATAATTTCTCTCATAAAGAGTTCTCTCATAAATGGGATTTCCTGCCTCACATTGTGCACCCTCCCCATCACCTTTCACCAACATTACTGGTTCTTCAATGGCTTCTCCTACTTCTTGTTCTGTCTTGGAGGACTTAGGACAATCTCTGTCTGAGGTTTTGCTCGTTTCCTCATTTTTTAACTGTGAAGCATTCTTGACACCTGGGTTTTTAACATCTTCATTAATATTACTGTCTATTTCCACATTTTTAGGTAAGCACTGCACTGGTGTATTTGAAATAATTTCTGAAATTCTAAGCACATTACTGTCAGGAATGGTTTTCTTTTCTACATCCTTTTTAGATGGATCTGACAATGATTCTTTAGCTTCCTCTTTTATAGGTACTTTTGAGGAATCACTCTCCTTACTTATACTGAAAGCTACCTCCATTTTTTCCTCTGAACATGTCAACTTATTTTCAGCATCTTTTAGCTGATCAGTTAGGATAGTTTGCTTGCTTACATTTATGGTATCTTGAGCTTCATTTTTTGTAAATACTGATGCACTTCCTTTGCAACTGAGATCTTCAGCAATAGCCACCTTTTCAATACTCATAGGTTTCCCACTTATGCTCTGTGGTTTTCCTTTCAGGTTTGAATCACTTACAGGCAATGTCTGAATTTTAGTTTCAACCTTCACCAAATCAGATACAGGTCTAGGATGTAACATCTTATTATCCTGTGTTTCTATCTCTACATCCATTTTTTTTTGCATTTTGTCAATACCTATGCTTGATGAACCACAGCCCATTTTTACAAATTCTGAAACTTTTGCATCATCATTGAGTTTATTTCCACTAGTTTCTCCAAATTTCATCTGAAGTTCTGAAGATTTTTCTATAGATTTAGTTAATTCAACATCCTGCTTTTGATGCAATATGCTTACATGATCTTTACACTCACTATGAGATTCAGATTTCACATTCATAATCCTAAGTTTCTTAAATGGAGGCTCAGCAGTATCAGCATCGTCTACAGATGGTACTGTACCACAAAATGGTACCTTACTTGAAGAAGATTGTGGCTTTATGATAGGATCAGCTGAGGATGATGCTACAGAGCTGAAACTTGTTGACTTTGACCCATCACCTGCTGGTTCCTGCACTGTTTGTGATTCTATACCTGTTACTAATTCTGACTTGCCTTCATTCACTTCATGTGCTTTTGAGTAAAATCACTAACCTTACATGCAGATTTTCCTGCATTTAAATTTGGTTGGCTTATTAACATGGCCTGTGATGTCTTGTCACCTCGTTGATGCAGTTTCTCATCCAGATCTTTATTTGTATTTTCTTTCTCATCTTTTCTCACTACTTTACCAGGTTCTGCACTGAACTCTACTGTTTTATGTCCAACTTTTGTGCTGATTATGTGCTTAGGTTCACTATAAATTTCTTTGCTTAACTTTTTATGTACCTCAAAATCCTTCTTATCTACTTCGCTCTTTCTTTTTTCCCTCTCTTTGTGTATGGATTCTTTTTCGAGTGCACTTGCTTCTCCTTTTTCTTTCATCTTGTTCAGTTTATCCCATACACTCTCCTTCTTTCTTACTTCCACTTTATCCAAAATCCCTAGTTTAAACCTATCTTTAACTTCATGAACATCTTGTGCACTTATTCTTTCTTTTAGAGCCAAATCTTTTTTTGCAGCAATATCTTCACAAATAGCTTTGGTGGTATCATCTGGCTGAATATCCACTACCACTGGTTCTTGTTTTGTATCAATACTTTGAGGAATACCCACTGTATCCTTTTTGACATTTTCTTGTTTTCTGAAGGGCTCTTGTCCAGAAGGGTGAGAATTTTTTCCAGCTACATCTTTTTTTTCAACCTGAGCTGCAAAATATCCTTCACAACCCTTTGATGGAAACTTTTCTGGTTGCTTTCCAACTACTTCAAGTTTTGCACTCTCATGATCATCCACTTTATTTAATGTCCTTTCTCCGTCACTTCTTGATTCAACTATTTTCTCTTTTTCCCCTACTTCACTACTCCTTTCTCCATTTTTTTCCACTTTGCCTGCATATTTTTCTCTGTCCTCAGCTTCACTTTTTTCTTGTTCTTTATATTTATCTGTTTTTGCTTCCCCCACACTAACCATTTCTCCCACTTTAGTTCCACTTTTTTCTTCCTCTAATTTTACTGCAACTTTTTCCCTGTCTACTTTTATTAAAATTTTTTCTCTCTCCTCTATTCTAGCATCAATTTTTTCTCTTTTCCCAACTTTAAGTCCAATTAGTGCTCTTTCCTCTACTTGAATTTTACTTTTTTCTATTTCATCCCCTGTAGCTACAGTAGTTTGTTCCCTGTCTGCATTTTCTGAAGTAGTAGCCCTGTATTTCAATTTATCAGTGTTTTTTTCTCTCTCAACTACTGTTCGAAGAGTTTTATCTTTTTCTACTGCAACCGGTGGAGTCTTTTCCTTTTCTGTCACTACAGGTGTCATCTTTTCCTTTTCTGCCACTACAGGTGTAATCTTTTCCTTTTCTGCCACTACAGGAATAGTTTTTTCCTTTTCTGCCACTACAGGTGTAATCTTTTCCTTTTCTGGCACTACAGGTGTAATCTTTTCCTTTTCTGGCACTACAGGTGTAATCTTTTCCTTTTCTGCCACTACAGGCATAGTTTTTTCCTTTTCTGGCACTACAGGTGTAATCTTTTCCTTTTCTGGCACTACAGGTGTAATCTTTTCCTTTTCTGCCACTACAGGCATAGTTTTTTCCTTTTCTGCCACTACAGGTGTAATCTTTTCCTTTTCTGCCACTACAGGCATAGTTTTTTCCTTTTCTGGCACTACAGGTGTAATCTTTTCCTTTACAGCCACTACAGGTGTAATCTTTTTCTTTTCAGCCACTACAGACACATTCTTTTCCTTTTCTGTCACTACAGGTGTCTTCTTTTCCTTTTCTGTCACTAAAGGTGTATTCTTTTTCTTTTCTGCCACTACAGGTGTAGTCTTTCCTTTTTCTACCACTACAGATGTATTCTTTTCTTTTTCTGCCACTACAGGTGTAATTTTTGCTTTCTCTGCCACTACAGGTGTAATCTTTTCCTTTTCTGCCACTACAGGTGTAATTTTTTCTTTCTCTGCCACTACAGGTGTAATCTTTTCCTTTTCTGCCACTACAGGTACAATCTTTTCCTTTACAGCCACTACAGGTGTAATCTTTTCCTTTTCAGCCACTACACACACATTCTTTTCCTTTTCTGTCACTACAGGTGTCTTCTTTTCCTTTTCTGTCACTACAGGTGTCTTCTTTTCCTTTTCTGTCACTACAGGTGTCTTCTTTTCCTTTTCTGCCACTACAGATGTATTCTTTTTCTTTTCTGCCACTACAGGTGTAGTCTTTCCTTTTTCTGCCACTACAGGTGTAGTCTTTCCTTTTTCTGCCACTACAGGTGTAATCTTTTCTTTTTCTGTCACTACATGCGTATTTTTTTCTTTTTCTACCACTACAGGTGTATTTTTTTCTCTTTCCTCTGCACTTACTGACAGCCCTTCCCTTTTCTCCACACTGAAAGAAGACTTTTCCTTGTCGTCTTTCAATGAAGAATTTTTACTTTCGTCCACTTTATCAGTAACTTTTAAATTTTTGGATATTTTTCTAAAGCTATCACTCTTTTCATCAACCTTTACTGAAATCTGATCTTTTTCTTCACTTTTACTTTTCTGATTTTCTTTCAGTTTCCTACTAATCTCTTCTTCATGTGCTGAATTCTTTTTGTTTTCTTCTATTTTTGCATTTTCTTTTTCATTTCCAGCCATTTTCTCTGTAATCTTTTTACTTGGTTTTTCACTGCCTTCCCCTCTGACACTAATTTTTTCTTGCTTTTCCAGGTTTTCATTTGTGTTTGCTTTTACATCTATTTTGCTTTCCTTGCATTCCTGTGGTTTTTGTACTAAGTTTACATTTTCTTTCACTTCTGCCTCAACTTTTACTTTTTCTAATTGTTCTTCCTTTGATATTCCTTTCGTGCTTTGACCACCATCTGTTCTCTGTTTCACTTCATCTTTTTCCTTGTATTTGATATCTGTTTTCATGTTCTCTTTCACTTTTTCACTAACATTCAATCTTTCTCTTGCATATTTTGTAATTTCTAGAGATTCATTCACTTTTTCATTAACTTCTAAGTTATCTTTCACTTTCCCACCAACATCTAATTTTTCATTATTAATTTTCTCAACTTTTTGCAATTCAATTCCATCTTCCAATTTTTCTTTCACCTTTTCCACTTCCACCTTAGCTTCAAGTTCCTTACTTTCTTCCATTTCATCTTTTTTCTCACCATCTTGACCAGTGTCTATAACTGGAGAAGTTCGTCCACTCGCAACAGGCGTTGGTGCCTTGCTGTCCACGGGTGTTGGGGCTTCACTGAGTCCCACGGGTGTTGCAGTACCACTATGACTTCCGTCTACTGACATTTCTCGGCTGGCCCCTAGTGGTGACTCAGAATCAAGCTCAGCAATCAGTGCCACCAGTTCTTCTCTTGAGCTATAAAGTTAAAATTAAAGTTATAAAAATCCAACCTCTTCAAATTACAATACTGCAGAGAAATAAATAAATAAATGTTAATAATGCATGTAAAAATCCTGATACACCAGTATGTCTTTTTTTTCAACAGGCAGTATCCCACCGAGGCAGGGTGACCTAAAAAGAAACTAAAGTTTCTCTCTCCAAATTTAATAATGTATACAGAAGGGGTTACTAGCCCCTTGCTCCCTGCATTTTAGTCGCCTCTTACAACACGCACAGCTTAAGGAGAAAGAATTCTTTTCCACTTCCCCATGGAGACACCGGTATGTATGTATTTCTAAATATTTCTGCACATACATAAAATCCAAATAAAAATAATCACTCAAGAATTGGTTCACTACTCATAGGAAGTTCATACACCAGCAACAAAGAAAAAAAAGAGTGAAATTTTGAAAGTCCAGTACAAATCAAAATGCTCAGTCAGCTCTATAACATAGAGTATATACTAAAAACTCAGTCGCAGGAAACTTCCTTACCGAACCAGAGAAATTATCTCTGAGGATGGCTACAAGCCTCAGCAAGTGTTTAATACTGACAAGACAGGATTAAATTGGAAGAAGTTGCAGTGTAGATCTTACATCAGCAAGCAAGTGTACCTGAATTTAAAGCAGTGAAGGATCTTTTCAGCTTGGGTCTGTGCACTAATGCATCAAGTGGTTTCAAGTGCATCCCAATACTTATTTCTTGCTTGCAGAATCCATGCTTCAAAAGACAAGGACAAAATCACTTTACATGTCATTTGGTAGTGTAAGAGGGCAGCATAGACGAGTGAAGCCCTGCCTGATGGGCTTAAAGATCAATTTAGTCCTTCAGTCATAATGTACCTGCTCTGGAACACTCTTGTTCAAGGTTCTCACTTCTGATAGTTCTTGTAGCCATCCTCAACTGATACAGTGTCTGGATAAAATGCAAAAGTTGTTTATTAATCCCCAAATGCAACATTATTGATACAACCAATGGACTGAGGTGTGAATAAAGACATTTAAGTTCCACTACACATACAAGGTCAAAACAGAAACTCATCAAAGCAATAGATGACAGTTCAAAAAACTGGGGTGCCAGAATTGTGGAGCAAATTTAGCATTGCAGATGCAATAATTAACATGAAATTTGCCTAAGACAAAATCCTCAATCAAGAACAAATTGCAGCCTGGGGAAAAAACTATGACCCATTGTGGTGAATAATTTCACATGTTTTCCCTCAACAGTCATGTCCAGGAAATTGTGAATCTGGAAAAAAGCCGATATTGTAAAAATTATGTTGACAGAAACAATGGTGGAGGTAGTGGTAGTGATATTATTTTTGCTAGTTTTATTGTTTTTTAGTTATTTTGTGTATGTTTTTTTTTTTTTTTTAATTTCTGTTATTGTTGCTTTTGTTGTCACATTTGATGTTCTTGTTTCTGATGTTGTTGCTGCTTATTGCCAGTAGTGGTGGTGGTGGTAATGGAAGTGGTGGTAATGGAAGTGGTGGTAATGGTAATGGAAGTGGTGGTAATGGAAGTGGTGGTAATGGAAGTGGTGGTAATGGAAGTCGTGGTAGTGGAAGTCGTGGTAGTGGAAGTCGTGGTAGTGGAAGTCGTGGTAGTGGAAGTCGTGGTAGTGGAAGTCGTGGTAAATGTAGTAGTAGTTGTCATAGGAGCAGTGGTAGTGGTAGTAAGCATGGAGGTAGAAGTAGTAGCAGTGAAAGTAGTAGTGGAAACAGTGGTAGTAGCAGTAGTGGTAGAAGCATTAGAACTGGTAGCAGCAGGAGTAAATAGAAGTAATGGAAGTAATAGTGGCAGTAGTAAATGCAGCAATAGTAGTAGTAGCAGCAGTGGTGGTGGTGGTAGTAATAGTAGTGGCAGTAGTAGTGTTCAAGAAACGCAGTGTCGCCAAGAGTAAATTGTGTGTGATGTGGAAGACTAACAATAAGGCATGGGTCACGAGGGAAATTTTCCTTGATTGGTTCAATGAAGTGTTTGGCCCGAGTGTGAAGAAATACCTCCTGGAATATAAACTGCCACTTAAGTGCCTCCTGGTAATGGACAATGCTCCTGCTCATCCTTCAGACTTGAATGACCAAATGGTGGAGGAGTATAGTTTCATCACAGTGAAGTTCTTGTCTCCTAATACCACTCCTCTCATCCAGCCCTTGGACCAGCAGATCATTTCAAACTTCAAAAAACTCTACATCAAAGCAATGTTCAAAAGGTGCTTTGAAGTGACCTCAGACACTCAATTGACCCTAAGAGAGTTCCGGAAAGATCACTTCAATATCCTCCATTGCATAGGCCTTACAGATAAGGCTTGGCAGGGAGTGACTTCCAGGACTTTGAACTCTCTCTGGAGAAAATTGTGGCCAGGTTGAGTCCTCAAAAAAAATTTTGAAGGGTTTCTGCCTGACCCTGACAACCCTATGGCAGTTGTGGAAGACCTTCATCTGCAACAGCAACAGACCATAGCTCAGGAAATTGCTTCAGAGGAGGAGGAAGAGAGATGGAAGAAGGTGCCTTCTTCAAAGATTAAGGACATTTGTGCAAAGTGGAGTGAGGTGCAAACGTTTGTGGAGAAACATCACCCTGACAAAGCTGTTGCAAGCTGTGTTGGCAACATGTACAATGACAATGTTGTCCTGTTTTACACAAATTTTAAAGAGACGCCAGAAACAGAGCTCTCTGGAACAATTTTTTGAGCGACAGGTCCAGCGACTCTCAAGCTGGTCCTAGTGGCATTAAAATCAAAGAAGGGTAGTAACACCGGATAAGGACTTGGTACCTAAAGTCTTTATGGAAGGGGATTCCCCTTCCATAAAGACTTTAGGTACCCTTTGCCACCCTCTTCCCTCCTCCTGTCTTCCATAAACCAACAAGAGTCTTCAGTAAAGATAAGTGTGATGTTATTATTGTTTTATACTTGATGTCTCATTGTTTTCTGTATGTAAATCTATATTTAATGTAAAAAAAATTTTTTTGTTAATACTTTAGGGTGTGTGGAATGGATTAATTGGATGTACAGTGGAACCTCTACTTGCGAGCGCATCCGCGTGCGAGTTTTTCCAAATACGAGCAGTCAATGGGTCAATTTTTTGCTTCCATACGCGAGCAAAATTTCCATAAGCAAGCAGACCTCAAGGCAGGTGCCTTGACGCTGGTAGGGGCTCTTGCTCTTGATCTAGGGAAATGTATCTCATTTGTTTGTTGGACTATCTTACTGAAACTTGGGCAATGTATGATGGAAAGTTCTATTGCTTTTTTTATTTTACTACCTAAACTGGAACGAATCCAACAAAGAGTGGAGTTCACTTTCAACCATTATCCCCCTACAGTATTGCAGAAGGTGTTTATATGGTTGTATATCTCAACTTATTGGTCCTTTAGATAGCATGGAATGATTATTACAGGAAATAATAGATTTTGATGCTTTCACGCGAAAGTACCTTGAAATGTTAACTTGTGAAATTCGATTGTTTTGGCAATGTCAAAGTAAACAAATTGTTCATTCCATTACAAATATCAGTCAGATGGTTGACAATTCTATACCATTATTGCAATGAGGACTCATTAAATCTCTAAACCTTTCTGGTCGAGTAAAAATCTACAAAGCTTACCATAGTCAAAATATAACATACAAAAATATAATAATAATAATTTAATATTGTTTAGTAATAATTACGTATTATAATAGTACAATACAATAATAATAATATAATACGTATAATAATAATACTCAGGTTAGGGTGTGTAGAAGAGAGGCAGACTACTTCCCGGTAAAAGTAGGTCTTAGACAGGGATGTGTAATGTCACCATGGTTGTTTAATATATTTATAGATGGGGTTGTAAAAGAAGTAAATGCAAGGGTGTTTGGGAGAGGGGTGGGATTAAATTATGGGGAATCAAATACAAAATGGGAATTGACACAGTTGCTTTTTGCTGATGATACTGTGCTTATGGGAGATTCTAAAGAAAAATTGCAAAGGTTGGTGGATGAGTTTGGGAGCCTGTGTAAAGGTAGAAAGTTGAAAGTGAAAAAAGAAAAGAGAAAGGTGATGAGGTATCAAATGATTTAGATAAAAAAAAATTTGATATCAAATAGGGGAGGAGGAGTATGGAAGAAGTGAATGTTTTCAGATACTTGGGAGTTGACGTGTCGGTGGATGGATTTATGAAGGATGAGGTTAATCATAGAATTGATGAGGGAAAAAAGGTGAGTGGTGCGTTGAGGTATATGTGGAGACAAAAAACGTTATCTATGGAGGCAAAGAAGGGAATGTATGAAAGCATAGAGGTACTAACACTCTTATATGGGTGTGAAGCTTGGGTTATGAATGCAGCAGCGAGGAGGCGGTTGGAGGCAGTGGAGATGTCCTGTCTAAGGGCAATGTGTGGTGTAAATATTATGCAGAATATTCGGAGTGTGGAAATTAGGAGAAGGTGTGGAGTTAATAAAAGTATTAGTCAGAGGGCTGAAGAGGGGTTGTTGAGGTGGTTTGGTCATTTAGAGAGAATGGATCAAAGTAGAATGACATGGAGAGCGTATAAATCTGTAGGGGGAGGAAGGTGAGGTAGGGGTCGTCCTCAAAAAGGTTGGAAGGAAGGGGTAAGGGAGGTTTTGTGGGCGAGGGGCTTGGACTTCCAGCAGGCATGCATGAGCGTGTTCGTAGGAGTGAATGGAGACGAATGGTATTTGGGACCTGACGATCTGTTGGAGTGTGAGCAGGGTAACATTTAGTGAAGGGATTCAGGGAAACCGGTTATTTTAATAGCCAGACTTGAGTCCTGGAAATGGGAAGTACAATGCCTGCACTCTAAAGGAGGGGTTCGGGATATTAGCAGTTTGGAGGGATATGTTATGTATCTTCATACGTATATGCTTCTAAACTGTTGTGTTCTGAGCACCTCTGCAAAAACAGTGATTATGTGTGAGTGAGGTGAAAGTGTTGAATGATGATGGAAGTATTTTCTTTTTGGGGATTTTCT